TATAACATCTCACATGGGAGGAGCAAGAATCAGGGAAATTGCTGGTTTCTCCAGAATTTTCATTATTCTCAGGGACGCCTGGGGGGCTCAGTCTGTTGAGCGTCCAACTCTTGGTTTCGGCTCAGGTCACGATCTCACGGTTCATGGGATTGAGCCGTGTCGGGCTCTGGGCTGAGAGCGTGGAGCCTGCTTGGGATTCTCTCTCGCCCTCTTTTTCTGCCTCTTTCCCCCGTCCACCTCAAATAAATAAATACACTTTTAAAAAAACAGAAAGAATTTTCATTTTTCTCAGAATGCATGGGGCTCAATCCCTCCCCATACCTCCGTCCCGGCTCCCCAGCCTGACAGAGGCAGACACGCCCTGCCCTCCTAAGGCTTTTCCAAACCCTTCCGTCCTCGAGGAGCAGCTCAGGTCTCTGCATCCTGCCACACTGAACACACCCCTCCTATCACATCTAACTTATTCCTTCGCTTCTCTGTCTCCTCGTTCCCCACCGCAGGGTGAGCTCTTCAGAAGTGCAAGCTGTGACACTAATTCCTGTAACACTAGAACACATGTATTACGAATACCACGAATATATAACATATAATCAAAAAAAGAAACTCACAGCTTCTTTTTAAACAATTGAAATTTACAAGAAAGCTTTCTAGAGAGTCATTTGCTATGAAATTCCTTAAAAAAAAACACAGCCCTTAAAAGCTTAACCACGAAGGGAATCTGGAATAACTTTGGCGTTGGCTCCGGGCCTGTCAGAAGTAGCTGTGAAAGGACTCGCTCCTGCTGTTTATCGAGATTAACATCATTTCACTGCAAGAGTCAGAGTTTCAGTAAATACCCCTCCGAGATGATGCTTTCCAGATGAAAACAAGTTATGGGCCACATTCAGAGTGCATGGAGACAAAGACAGCCCCTGAGCCGTGTCACGGGGGGACGGAGCTTTGGGGCGTTCTCATGGCGACCACGGGGATGCGCAAAGTCCACCTGGACCAAAAGTAACGCACCTCCTCGTACGACCACCACCAGCACTTAACTGTTTCGTTTTCACGTTAGTACTACTTGAAGCTGGAACATTCATCACCAGTACAACCTGGCTTCTCTTCTTCGGGTCTGAGCATTGGATCAGACGGTTCGCGTGTTCTCTGTGAAGCTGCCCTCAAGGTGCCTGCAGGCTTCCTCACGAGCCACCCCCAGACACGAAAACAAGACCACACAAGATACAGCACAATCCTCTCGGAACAAAGTGTGCCCGTGAACCATCCAGAGTCCCGTAGCGTACAGGTGGGAGGCGGTACGAGAGGGAAAACAGAGCCCTGCGGTGTTGGCATTGCTCCTGGGGAGGCGGAGCTGCCCGCCCCACCCCCAGCTTCTCTTCCACAGGGAGAGGCCGCCAAAGCCTCACAATCAAATGGGACATGTCCCTCACCAGGCCGAGACTACACACAGGTGGGGTCTCACTCTTCCTTAAGCACCGGGTGCACCAAGCAAAACACCTGCTCCAGTGCACCTGCTCCAAATAATACCTCCTGCCCCCAAAGTGTCCCCCAGGAGAGAGACCCCTTGGCACGTCCAACCAAGGTTAACAGCAAGGGCAGGAAAAGGCCAAGATGGACCGTACTCAACACACAAAAACATCTGCATTCCAATCTATAGAACGTTATGGAGCTTTAAAGATTTCTTCCCGATCTACAACATCCTCATTCATTCAGACTTACCTTTCCAATGATCTCATTAATCTCTGGAGTATTTGGTGTGTACAGTATTTTTCCATGTAATACAGGTTTTAGGAAGGACCACACCAAAGCGCCATTTGGAGACTGTAGAATTTCCTGATAGAGGTTCAAGCAAAATGGTGCTGCCACAATTTAAACAAACAAACAAAAAATTACTCACGATAGGGGATGCCCAGGCTAATAGTAACCCTCATTTACATATCCATGATGCGTCACTTTTCAATGACTGATCTAGATACATTTTTCATGCCAAAATTCTGAATTTGGGCAGTAAATTCCACAAGAATTTTTCTTGTCATTGTCTTTGGCGCCTCTTGTCTCAGAAGAAATTTCGGGATACCATGTTTATTTCAATATTTGGGGGTTTTTTTGCTTTTGCTTTAATTTTTTAATGTTTATTCATTTTTGAGAGAGACAGAGAGAGAGCACCAGCAGGAGAGGGGCAGAGAGAAGGAGACCTAGAATCTGAAGCAGGCTCCAGGCTCTGAACTGTCAGTGCAGATGCCCGATGCGGGGCTCGAACCCACAAACCGTGAGATCATGACCTTAGCCGAAGTCACATGCTTAACCGACTGAGCCACCCAGGCGCCCCTTGCTTCAATACTTTAAAAGAAAGGAAAGCATGACCTTCACGTGTCCAAACTAAGTCATCCTTAAGACACCTGAAAATAAGTAATAGAAAGAAATGCACCTGATCTTTAATCTAGAAAACTGTCAACACTTACAGGATTGAGAACAGAATTAGGTTCTTCTTATGAAATTAACTTCATATCTTGTTACTGAATTTTCTTCCCTGCACCTACACAGAAGTGTTGAACTTACTGTTTTCGATATATTAAGTCACCTTCTTTTCACTCCACCCTTGATTCCTCAAGGTGGCTTTCTTTTTTTTTTTTTTTTTTTCAACGTTTATTTATTTATTTTTGGGACAGAGAGAGACAGAGCATGAACGGGGGAGGGGCAGAGAGAGAGAAGGTGGCTTTCATCATTGCTGTGGTGTTAACTGCTTTCAACTGAGGGCTTACTCAACTAACCTGTCTAACCGAATAGGTGCTTAATGAGGGTAGAGCCTTCATCACCATAGTGCTTAGTGACTGATTCTTATATATGGTTTTAAAATAGTGATGAGTACTTTAGTACAACTGGTTCTTTTACTCCTGGAGCGAACATTTAAAATGGAAATATTTCAGGGCACCTGGGTGGCTCAGTCGGTTAAGCATCCAACTTCGGCTCAGGGCATGATCTCACAGTCTGTGTGTTCGAGCCCCGCATCAGGCTCTGTGCTGACAGCTCGGAGCCTGGAGCCTGCTTTGGATTCTTCATCCCCCTCTCTCTCTTTGCCCCTCCCCTGCTCATGCTGTCTCTCCCTCTCTCTCTCAAAAATAAACATTAAGGGGCACCTGGGTGGCTCAGTCGGTTAAGCGTCCGACTTCGGCTCAGGTCATGATCTCACAGTTCGTGAGTTCAAGCCCCACGTCAGGCTCTGTGCTGACAGCTCAGAGCCTGGAGCCTGCTTCAGATTCTGTGTCTCCCTCCCTCTCTGCCCCTTCCCTGCTCATGCTCTGTCTCTCTCTGTCTCAAAAATAAACAAACATTAAAAATATTTTTTTTCTTAAATAAACATTAAAAAATAATTTTAAAAAATGGAAGTATCTTAGCTTTGATACCAAGATTCCTAACACCCAAGGTATGAATACTGCTGTTGTGATCACTTCCACTATTAATTTCGTCTTCCCAAATTGTCCACTTGAAAAGGAAAAAAAAATGTTTTTTTATTCAACAAGTACAATAAAATTGATAGAACTCCCTGAGATATAAATTAAGAGCATGGATACATAATGAAGTTTTAAACCATTAATTATAAAGGTTGTTCTCATTGATATTTTTTAAAGTTATATTTCAAATTATCAGCTTGATGTAAACAGTAACAATTTTCATTTCAGAAAAGACATAACCATCTTTATGTACAGAACAAAAAATTTGAAACCAGGAATCCTGACATCTGCCACTTGTGAGCTGTGTGAACTTGGGTAAGTGATTTACCCTTCTCTGAGCTTCCAGCATGTCTTCTGGAAGATGAGGGTACTAATATTGTCTGTGGTGAGTGTGACAATCATTTGAAATACAATGTATGAAAGCACTAAGAAAGACTGGTCCTCAATGGTGGCTAAATAACTAGACAGATGAACGGTTGAGTGAGTGTGTGAATGAATGAATCAATGGATGGATGAAAGGATGGATGGATAGCTAGAGGGATGGATGGAAGGATGGATAGATGGATAGATGGATGGATGGATGGATGGATGGATGGATGGATGGATCAATGGATGGGTGAATGGGTGGGTGGATGGATGGATGGATGGATGGATGGATGGATGGATGGGTGGATGGATGGACTGATGGATGGATAGGTGGATGGATGGACAGATGGATGGATGGATGGATCGATCGATGGATCAATGGATGTGTGGATGAGTGGATGGATGGATTGATGGATGGATAGATCAATGGATGGGTGGATGGGTGAGTGGATGGATGGATGGATGGACTGATGGATGGATGGATGGGTGGATGGATGGACTGATGGATGGATAGGTGGATGGATGG